GGTAGGTTTGTTTCTAGAAATTTGTTCATATCATCTAAGTTATCTAATTTTTAGAAATATAATTGTTTGGGACCAGCAGATGTCATAATTGTTATGTTGCTGGACTCCCAGGTAGCCAACTGATTCAAGTCCTGGACCCAGCTGCCTAAAACTCACATCAGGCATGTATGTGTGTATGTGCCCAAAATTCCAAGAGGAGAATGGAGAAGAGATTGCAGCATGGCCATCCTCCCTGGGGGGTGATTTCTCGCTTTCTGTCTCTCTGTCTCTCTGATGAAAGTGCGTGCCCTATAGCAAAAATCTCTCTCTAAAAAAAGAAATACAATCGTTTCTAATGCTTTTAAAATAATATGTTTTCCTTTTTTATTTTCCAGAGTGCATATATACTCAGCAGAGAGAGAGAAACAGAGACAGAGAGGCAGAGAAAGTGGGAAAACACCCCTATGAAGAATAGTCATGCTGCAATCCCTCCTCCTCTATTTCTTCTTTCTGTTGGGATTTTGGACATGCATGTGCACATACCCACCATGTTAATCTTTTTAAAAAATTTCTGTGGAACTAGTACTAATGTCACCACTTTCAATTCTGATTTTCATAATCTGAATCTCTTTTTTCCCTAAATCATTCTAGTTAAAGACTTGTCAATTTCGTTTATCATTTTGAAGAACCACCTTTTGGTTTTGTTGACATTCTCTATTGTTTTTCTATTCCCTGTCTTATTTTATTTTATTATTATTATTAATTTTTGGAGAGTTTTTTGCTATAGGGAGCGTGTGCTCGCCAGAAAGACAGAGAAGCAGAGAGACAGAGAGACAGAAAGTGAGAAATCACCCCCCCCCCGGTGGGGATGGCCACGCTGCAATCCCTTCTCCTCCATTCTCCTCTTGGGATCTTGGACACGCACGCACATGCACCCGGTGTGAGTTTAAGCCACCGGGTCTGGCACTTGAACTGTGGTCAACTACATGGGAGTCCAACGACATAACCATTACAACAACTGCTGGTCCCTTCCCTGTCTTATTTATCTCTGCTCTAATTTTTATTATTTCCTCCCTCCTGCAAGTTTCGGAGTTAGTTAATTCTTTTTTCTTATAGTTCCTGAATTTGTAAAATTAGGATATCAAAAAAATTTAGGATATCAATTTGGGAATTTTTATTTTTTCAGTTTTTGCTATAGGACATGTGCATTCTCCAGAGTGTGTGAGAAATCACCCCCTGAGGGGATGGCCATGCTGCAATCTCCTCTTCTTCAGTCCTCCTAACAGGATTAAGCATTTATAGCTATAAATGTACTCCTTACCACTGCTCTTGATGCATCCCATAAGTTTTGGTATGTTGTGTTTTCATTTTAATTTATCTCTGAGTATTTAAGATTTCTCTTGTGATTTCTGCTTTGACCTATTGTTTGTTTAAAAGTATGTAGTATAATTTTCACAAATATGTGCATTTTCCAGCTTTATTCTATTATTGATTCTAGCTTGATCCCACAGTGGTTGGAGAAGATACTTTCTATGCTTTCTTTTTAAAAAATATTGAGATTTTTGACCAACAGATGGCGAAATGGTTACATCGCTGGATTCCCATGTAGTCGATGAGGTTTGAGTCCCGGACCTGGTGGCTTAAACTCACGCTGGGCACATATGCATGCGTGTCCAAGATCCCTAGAGGAGAATGGAGGAAAAAGGATTGTAGTGTGGCCATCCCCCCTCGCTTTCTGTCTTCCTTTCTCTCACGGTCTTCTGGTGAGCGCCCAGCCTATAGCAAAAATCTCTCTTAAAAAAAAAAATTGAGATTTAATCTGTGGCCAGACATGTGGTCCATCCTGGAAAATATCCCATGTGCACTTGAGAAAAATATGTATCATGTCAGTGTTCTGTATCTGTCTGTTAGAGCTATTAATAGTTTGTTGTGTTGTCCGGGTTTCTGACTTCCTTTCTTATTTTATGTTCTGTCGTCTTATCCATTATTGAGAGTGGCATAGTAAACTCTCCAACTAACGTTGTAGAGCTGTTTCTCCCTTCAATTTTGTCAGTTTTTCTTCAGATGTTTTGATGATCTATTGTTAGGTGTGTAAATATGGTTCAGTCTTCCTGTTGTGTTGAACCTTTTAATATATAATGTCCTTCTTTGTCTCATAAGCTTTTTGATGTAAAGTCTGTTTTGTCCTATATGGGTATAGTCACTCCTACTCTCTTCTGGTTATTATTTGCATGAATGTCTTTTTCCATTTATTTTCTTTCTTTTTTTTTCAAATTTATTTAATTTTATTTATTCATTCATTCATTTATTTTAATTTTATCAGAGAGAGACAGAGAGAGAGAAGGAGAGAAAGTGAGATAGCAAGCCACCAGGTCTGGGACGAACCATGGCCAGCCATATGGGACTGTTCAGAGCCTTAATCACTGCGCCACCTGCTGGTTCCCCTTTCCATTTATTTTCAACCTATTGTGTCTTTGGATCTAAAATGAGTCTCTTGTGGATAGCATAGAGTTGGATCATGTTAGATTATGCTTTGTTTTACTTTCCATTTTGCCCATTTCTTTTCTTTCTTTTTAAAAAATTTCACCACAGAGCTTCCGTGCTCACCAGAGAGAGAGAAAGTGAAAAAGCACCTCCCGCCCCCCAGTGAGATGGTCATGCCACAATCCCTTCTCTATCATTTAACTCTCCTTCTGGTATTTTGGACACACACACACACACACACACACACACACACACGTACAAATCCCTGGCATGTTTCTCAAGCTTCTGGGTCTGGGACTCTAACTGCACAATCGTCCATATGGGATCCAGCAGCCTTAACCACCACACTGTAGGCTGGTCCCCATTCTGCACATTTCTGTCTCTCCCCCTATTTAAAGAACCCATTTATTTAATTGTATTTATTCATTCATTTTTTTAAAAATTTGACCAGAGAGAGAGAGAGAGAGAGAGAAAGCCACCAGATCCAGGACTTGAACCATGGCTGGCCATATGGGAGTGTCCAGTGCCTTAACCACCATTCCACCCGCTGTTCCCTCCCCCCCATTTTTATTAATTTATTTTTCATTATTTTAAATTCTTGAGGGGTACAGCATCACATGGATTTTTTGTCCAATGGCCTTACCAGAAAGATTGCCTCGGAATTTGGCTTGAACCATGCCACTGTTTCCATGGGCACAAGTAATTTTCCCCACATTACTCTGGTTTTATGTGATTTGTCACCAGGAGTCACTGTGTTGTTTTTTTAACTATGTATACATAAGCACACCTCTTGCCTAAGCAGAATTCCATTTCATCTTGAGCATAAACACCTTCAATTTTTTTAAAGAATTATTTTATTTTAACTTTATTTATTATTATTTTCCAGTTTACCAGAGAGAGACAGAAAGAGAGGGAAGGTGAGAAAGGAAGCCACCAGGCCCAGGACCTGAACCATGGTTGGCCATGTGGTAGTCCAGTGCCTTTAACCACCACACCACCTCCCGGCCCCTAAACAGCTTCAGTTTTGTTTTGTTTTTGTTTTTGTTTTTGTTTTTGGAGAGGTTTGTGCTATAGGGCGTGTGCACTTGAAGACAGAGAGACAGAAAGCGAGAAATCGTGCCCCAGGAGGGGTGGCCATGTTGCAATCCCTTCTCCTCCATTCTCCTCTCAAGATCTTGGGCACGTATGCACATATGCCTGGCGTGAGTTTAATCCACCATTTGCACTAGCGCGCCTCTCCTTCAGGTGAGGATTTTGATTACCTTATCACACATGCCCAGTGTGGACTTCGAAAGTATGATCATTCATAGATAGATGATCTGCCCTATTAGTTTATTGCTCCAGTGGGAATTAGGGTGTTGACCTAGCATCCTTCCTGGCGCCAGGATCCAGGAAGGGGAAGGATTTCTCACAGAAAGTCTGCTTGTATTCCCTGATAGGCTTTGATTGGTGGGGCAGATATCCTTCTGCTATTATCTCAGGACTGCCTGCTCATTTCTGGCTAACTACCTGTCACAATCAGGGGCAGAGATCAATGATGAGAACTCAGATCCTTGGTACTGGGAGGTCAGGGTCCGCCTTGTCTACTCTCCTGAGAGCCAGATGCGGGCTGCTTAGAATGCAAGTACAGCTGCATGCCTTGGGGCCAGGTGGGGAGTGGGTGGTTCATACCACACTCAGAGCTGAAATACTCTGAAATGGGGACCAGCAGGAGGCGTGGTGGTTAAGGCGGCTAGACTCCCACATGGCTAACCATGGTTCGAGTCCCAGACCTGGCAGCTTACTTTCTCACTTTCCTTTTTTCTCTCTCTGATCAACTTCCAATAAAATAAAAAATAAACAGAGTAATGACGATGAATAAAATAATTCTTTTTTTTTTTTAAAGAAATGCACTGAAATGAGCCACAATGTACCATTGAGGCCTTACTTGGAGGCCTCTATCCCTCAACAGACTCCAGAATTCCTAAAGTTACATCAGACAGACTTGCCAGTGTGACTATCGTCTAGGTGGGGAGAGAGTTTCCTGGTGCCTCCTTGGTCTTTTCTCTGATATCACTTTGAGGTTTCATACTATAGAAGGGACTAGACCATGAGAATGCCTGGTGCCTGGCCTCACAGACATTCACACGAACATGTAGACATGGGGTGTGGTCCCAGGTCAGCTTGTTACACTGTGGCTGTGCCAAACAGGATGATAGGAAGGGGTAAAATCACGTGTGTGTGTATGTGTAAACATGTGTTCACATGGGGTATATGCGGCTCTTATTTCTGTGTATGTGATTCACCTGTATGCATGATCTTCAGAGCATGTCCAGCTGTGGGTACTCCTAAAACCATGTAGCTCTGCAATTCCATTGTGCATGTGAGGGTACCTCTGAGAGTATGTCTGTGCATGTCTTTTTCTGTGTACTTTGTATGTGACCTCTGAATATATACCTCTGAGCGTGTGCCTCTGAGCGTGTACTCAGCATGTGCACCGACGTGTACCTTCAGGAGCACATGTGGCCCTCTGAGCTCACTGACCCTTCTCCCCGCAGGACTCATACCTGCTCGACTACTTTCTCTTTCTGAATCGCTACTTTGAGGTGGGAGCCCCTGTGTACTTTGTCACCACCTCCGGCTACAACTTCTCCAGCGAGGAAGGTATGAATGCCATCTGCTCCAGCGCTGGCTGCAATGAGTACTCCTTCACCCAGAAGATCCAGTATGCCACCGAGTTCCCTGACCAGTGAGTGCCTGCCCCGTCCCGCTGCCCACCTGCTGCCACATCCCTGGGAAGCCCTGTGTGGAGGTTGGACCACAGAGGGCCCCACCATTCTGCCCAGCTGGCCCTGGCTCCTCTTTTATTCCCTCTGGCCTATAGGTCCTACCTGGCCATCCCTGCCTCCTCCTGGGTAGACGACTTCATCGACTGGCTGACCCCTTCCTCCTGCTGCCGCCTTTATACCTGGGGCCCTGACAGGGACAAGTTCTGCCCCTCGACTGTCAGTGAGTGTGGGGCTGCAGGTGGCTCACGTTCCACCATAGTTTGGGGAAACTGAGGACAGGTGAGGTTCTCCACCCTGTAGGGCCCACCAAGGCAAGATGCTCTCTAGTGAGCATCTATGAGGTACTAGACTGGACCACCAGCACTTACACACTCATGTCCCCGTGGTGTGGTGTGCCACACTCACAGGTGCTGACCTCTGGCAAGGCAGTGGGGAGTCAGGGGTGGAAAGCTGAGGTCGTCATGGGACCCTGTCTCTAAGCAGCTATATTCGCAGGTGGAGTGGGAGGTCCCAAACTCTCCTTTTCCATGCCTGTGAGTGTAGGTACCCATGGCTTCTGTAACAGGAGAGGACAGGTGATTCTCCCGTAGCTGGAGAGGACAGGTGCAATGCGCCCTTCCCCCAACCTATGTGCCTCATTGAGGTGGCAGTGCCAGGCTTTTTATGGGGTGGAGGAAGTGGGGGCAGGCAGGATCTGCCTGGCCTGGGTGCCGCTGCCCAGAGCCCCTCTCTCTGCAGACTCTCTGAACTGCCTGAGGAACTGTATGAGCTTCACAACTGGCCCCGTGAGACCCTCCGTGGAGCAGTTCAACAAGTACCTCCCCTGGTTCCTGAGTGACCCACCCAACATCAAATGTCCCAAAGGGTAGGTCCGGGGAGGGGCTTCTACTGAGAGGGTGGACCTGTGGGCCCAGGAGGGGCAGGAGGAGGCTAGGAGGGGGTAACTGGATGACCACGGGCTATGCTGACAGGAGGGGACTTTGTTCCCATTGAGCCCGACCCTGCCCTTTTCCTTTCAGTGGCCTGGCAGCGTATAGCACTTCTGTGAACTTGGATCCAGATGGCCAGATTATAGGTAAGTGAGACCTCTTGCATCTTCTCTCTTCCTTCTTAGTGGGGGCTTCTTCTTCTTTTTTTTTTCCTTTTTTTTAATTTTAATTTTAATTTTTTATTTTTTGGAGAGGTTTTTTTTTTTTTTTTTTTTTTTGGGGGGTGTGGGGGTTTTTCTCTATGCTCACGGTTGTTGCTATAGGGCACGTGTGCTTGCCAGAAAGACAGAGAGAGACAGAAAGCAAGAAATCACCCCCCAGGGGGGATGGCCATGCCACAATCCCTTCTCCTCTATTCTTGTCTTGGGATCTTGGGCATGCATGCACATGTGCCCGGCGTGAGTTTAAGCCACCGGGTCCGGGACTTGAACTGAGGTCAACTACATGGGAGTCCAGTGACACAGCCATTATGCTAACTGCTGGTCCCCTTAGTGGGGCTTCTAACTGCCCTGTCAGCAGGGCCTGTATCCCCACTCCACATCCTCAGGCTTCGTCTTTCCTCCCACCCTCAAGTTCATGGTCAGCTGACATCCGTCGGGTAATCGATCCCACCACACGCCTTTTCTTGCACGCATCCTCATCCCTGAATATCAGCAGAGGCCACCAGCTATGTGAGTTAGGGTGCCTCAGATCAATGGACTCTCAGGAGCCATTGCAAGTTAGAAGTGGGTGCCAGCTGGTGGTATGGCAGTCAAGGAAGCTGGATCCCGTATGGCCGACTTTGCAGTTTGAGTCCCAGATTCAACAGCTTGAAACACTATATAGGGCATATGTGTGTGGGTGTCCAAAATCTCAAAAGGAGGATGGAGGAGAGAGGATTGCAGCATAGCCATTCCCCCTTCGTGTGTGTGTGGGGGTGGGGAGTCCGTTCTCACTCTCTTATCTCTTTCTCACTCTCTCTACCTGGTGAGTGCATGTATCCTATAGCAAATAAAAACCAAAATTGACAAGTAGGAGAAAATGGAGCTGCCAGAAACAGACCTTAGCACACATGGTTCACACAGCACATGTCTCAGTGCCTTGGCTGTCTGCATGGAGGAGCCAGAGTCACCTATGGCTCTGTTCATGCACAGGGATGGACGGGGGTCGGCAGGGGGTGGAGGAGTTTTCAATAATTCTCTCACTTTTGGCTGAAACCACTCACAGTTTGAGTCACCAGCTACATGCTGACCGAAGCATGCTCACCTACCCTCCCCGATAATTATCCTGTGAGGTTCTCATCTTCCAGGCAATGCAGCCTGCCCCCGTGTGCAGGGCCACTGTGGCCAGACAGGGGTAGGCATCTCAGGAGCAGGAGCAGGACATGGTGTGAGCAGACGGAGCCACCCCTGACCTGGCCAGGTCTGCACCCTCCTCTGATCTCAGCCTCCCCCATGGCTGACTGCAGTTTGAGTCTCAGGTCGGTGGCTTAAGAGACATGCTGGGTGCCTGTGCATGTGTGACCATTCCCTATCAGGGAGTACTTTCTCTTTTTATTTCCTCCTGTCTCTCCCTCACGAGCACACATGCCCTCTTGCAATTGAAAGAAAGAAAAAGAGAGGGAGAAAAGAAAAGAAAGAACCTTTATCATTTCTTACACTACTGGAGCCCTAGGCTGCAGCCCTAACAATTCACCTCTTTTCCTCTCTTCTCTTCTCTTCTCTTCTCTTCTCTTCTCTTCTCTTCTCTTCTCTTCTCTTCTCTTCTCCAAAATCCTTAGAGGGGAATGAAGAAGGGATTTTGGTGTGCCCATCCCCTTTGGGGGATTGTTTCTCCTCTCTTCTCTTCTCTTCTCTTCTGTTCTCTTCTCTTCTCTTCTCCTTCTTCTTCTTCTTCTTCTCTTCTCTTCTTCTTCTTCTTCCCCTTCTCTTCTCTTCTCTTCTCTTCCTTCTCTTCTCTTCTCTTCTCTTCTCCTCTCTTCTCCTCTCCTCTCCTCTCCTCTCCTCTCCTCTCCTCTCCTCTCCTCTCCTCTCCTCTTCTTTTTTCTTTTCTTTTCTTTTGTTGTTTGTTTGTTTAGAGATTTTTTTCTATAGGGCATGCGTGCTTGCTGGAGAGACAGAGAGATAGAAAGCGAAAAATCACCCCTCGGGGAGATGGCCACGCAGCAATCTCTTCTTCTCCATTCTCCTCTTGGGATTTTGGGCATGCTTGCACATGCGCCTGGTGTGAGTTTCAAGCTGCAGGATCAAGCTGTGTCAGTTGTGTGGGAGTCCAGCTCCTTAACCACTGTGCCAGCTGCTGCCTCTAACAATTCACCTATTTTTAATTTTCTGTCTCCCTTTCTAGTCCTTTCCTATAGGAATATACAAGTTTGAAAACTAAGTTAATTTTAAAATTCCAGTGCATATGGGTCTAGAAGGTGCATGGTGGTTAAGGTACTGGACTTCCACATGGTTGACCGTTGTTTGAGTCCTGGACCTGGCAGCTTGAAAATCACACTGGGTGCTTGTGTGTGCATGCCCAAATTCCTGAGAGGAGAATGAAGGAGGGTTTGGTGTGCCCATTCCCCATGGGGGATGATTTGTCATTCTCGCTCTTTGTCTCTCTCTGGCAAACGCATACACCCTATGGCAAAACCTTAAAAAATAAATACAGTGCATATTTTGGGACCATACATAGAGACATTCGGGTTCATTGGGGAGTCTTTAGGCTCCACCCCTCAAGGGCTGGGTGTGGATCTGGGTCTCCCTCAGCAGTAGGACCAGTCAATGTGCAGGCCAGTGCAAGATGCAAGTGTGGGCCCCTCGCATGAACTCTACTAAGAACTGGCAGAACCCTGGGCCCTGCATGACCACACTCCCATGTTGCAGTCCCTTGGGTGTCCTGGAGCAGGTTCTGACTTTTGCCCTCCCTTCTCCTGTGTGCCCTGGTCATCTAGCCTCCCGGTTCATGGCCTACCACAAACCCCTGAAGAACTCACAGGATTTTACAGAAGCTCTGCGGGCAGCTCGGAAGCTGGCCGCCAACATCACCGCTGACCTGCGGAAAGTGCCTGGGACGGACCCAGCCTTTGAGGTCTTCCCTTACACGTGAGGACCTAGGTGGCCAGACTGGTGGGAGTTGGGGTGACTACTGGGACTGGAGATTAGGGTGGCAGGTTTGTGAGGGATCATGTAAGAGGATTAGCTTCAGGTCAGGATCTCTGGCTACAGCCCTAGGCCCATTTCTCATGCTTGTCCATACTGGAGCTAAGCCTCTCTGAGCAGCCTGCCCACCTTTAGGTTACAGGTCTGTGCTATGACCATGCTCTGTGGTGGTTTCCGGCAGGATCACCAATGTGTTTTATGAGCAATACCTGACTATCCTGCCCGAAGGGCTCTTCATGCTCAGCCTCTGCCTACTGCCCACCTTTGTTGTCTGCTGCCTCCTGCTGGGCATGGACCTGCGTTCTGGCCTCCTCAACCTGTTCTCCATTGTCATGATCCTTGTGGACACTGTTGGCTTCATGACCCTGTGGGACATCAGCTACAATGCCGTTTCCCTCATCAACCTAGTCACGGTAACCCACCAGACACTGGGAACAGGCAGCCCCTGAAGCGGTTGTCTGGGAGTCCTGCCTCATAGGACACTCCAGTTCTGTCTAGGATCTGGATACCTGTCCCTCTGGTTCTGGTGGTGACTTTATCTCCCTGGCTCCTTCCCTGCCTCTGCCTTTCTTGGCTAAGCCCCCTTTTTGCCCACAGGCAGTGGGTATGTCTGTGGAGTTTGTGTCCCACATCACCCGCTCCTTTGCCATCAGCACCAAGCCCACCCGGCTGGATAGGGCCAAAGAGGCCACCATCTTCATGGGCAGTGCGGTGAGTGGAATGGGGTGGGTAGCCCTGTGCCCCGCCCAATATCCTGTGCCCCACTTGACATTCTGTGCCTGTCTGATACCTGGCTGTGACCTATCCTACACCAGGTGTTCGCGGGGGTGGCCATGACCAACCTGCCTGGCATCCTGGTCCTGGGCCTTGCCAAAGCCCAGCTCATCCAGATCTTCTTCTTTCGCCTCAACCTCCTGATCACCCTGTTGGGCCTGCTGCACGGCCTGGTCTTCCTGCCAGTTATCCTCAGCTACCTGGGTAAGTGCCCAGCTGTGGTGATTATGATAATGACTACCACAGTACTGCGTGCCTGCTGTGCACATTCAGGGAATACACACACAGCCACGCGTAAACCTCAGAAGCATTCAGCTGACCAAGACCACCACCACATGACACTTCCCAGTTTGGAAACCGCTGTTTTCCACCTCACATGCCATAAACATCTTTTATTTATTTATTTAATTTGCTATGGTATGTGTGCACTCACCAGAAAGAGACGGAGAGAGAGGGAAATTAAGACGTTTCCCCGTGATGGAATGGGCCAAACCACAATCCCTTCTCCTCCATTCTGCTCTTGGAATTTTAGACACACGTGCAGTGTACCCAGTGTGTTTTTCAAGCTACCAGGTGTAGGACTCGATCCATGCAGTTGGCTATGTGGGATCTAGCATCTTAACCACGAAGCCACTAGTTAGCCAAAGAATATCTTTGTCTGCAGATACATATATCAGACAGTGTTCTAGTAGTCCTGTGGGTCTCCATTGCACTGCTGTTTGATTTTTTTTTTTTTCATTTGCCAGGGAGCTAGTGCACTCACCAAAGAGAAACAGATGCAGTAGGGAGGGGAAGGAAAAAGTATGCTCACTGGGGTGATGTTACACAGAAATCCCTCTCTGTTCTGCCATCCTGTGGGGATTTTGGGCAAGCATACACATATGTGTTTTTCAAGTCTCCAGGGTTGGGATTAGAACCCTGGTTGGTCATGTGAAATCTGGCTCCCTTAACCACTAGGCCATAGGACTGGCCCTGCTGTTGGACTTTAAGTATGACCTTCAGTGAGAAATACATTTCACATAATCTTTTTTTGTTGTTGAGAGGTTTTTGCTATAGGGTGTGTGCGCTTGCCAGAAATACAGAAGGAGGCAGAGAGACAGAAAGTGAGAAATCACCCCCAGGGGGGATGGCCACACCACAATCCCTCCATTCTCCTCCATTCTCCTCTCAGGATCTTGGGCACACATGCATACAGGTCCAGCGTGAGTTTAAGCCACTGGGTCCGGGACTTGAACTGTAGTCAGCTACATGGGAGTCCACTGACATAGCCATTACGCTTACTGCTGGTCCCACATTTGACATAATCTTAAATGAGGAAACTGAGACACTTGTCCCAGGTCACAGACTTGGTCCAAGGGAACAGGGATTGGAACCCACACAGCTCTTGCATCCAACCAGTCACTTGTTGGGACTTCCTGAGCTCTAAGAGGGTCAGAGTGTGTGTACTGGGTTGCAGATGAGAGCAAGGGGAGGGCCTGGAGGCTCAGCCCAGGGATGGGCACAAGGAGCCTCTTGCCACATCCCACAGTGGCAGGAATCCCCTTAGTGTGGGCTATGCAGACAGCGATCTGGGAAGGTATGTGGAGAACATGTGGCTGGGCCTGCCATGCCCTGAATGTATTGCAGAGACTGAGGAGCAGCTTCTCACAGAGGGAGTGCTGGCTGAGGCTGTCAGCATAAGGGGCCTGGGAAGAAGAGGAGAGAGAACTCACAGGCCATGGGCTTAGGGCTTGACCATGCAATGGCTGCAGGGTCCAGGTGTAAAAGCCAGCTGGGCGGGCTGGTAGATTTCAGTGCAGGGTGGAGTGGGGTGGAGCTATTGCAGGGGGTGCTGAGCATGCTCCCTAGACTCCTCCTGGTCCAGTTCTGACTGTCCTGTCTATGTCCCTGTAGGACCCAATGTCAACGCAGCTCTGGTGCTGGAGCAGAAGCAGGCTGAGGAGATGGCAGCGGCCCTGGCTGCCTCCTGCCCAAAGCACCCCTCTCCGATCACCAGCATCTATGACAATTACAGCTTTGAAGACCCTGCCAAAGGAGCTGTTCCTGTTGGCAACTCTTTGCAGGACACTAGGCAGTTATGATGGAGTTGGAGCTGCTTTCTCAGAACAGGCCCTGAGGCTCTCCCCTATATGGTCTCTTGGCCCACTCCTCCTCAAGGCCTGTGGGAGGCTGTCCCACAACAGTGGCTGTCACTTGAGGATGGCTCACCCCTGGCAAGCACTGCCAAAGGCCCTTCTGCTCTTGTAGCAGGTCCTTGGTCTCTGAGCCACTTGGGACACAGTCAGTTTGAGATACCTCCTCCTCCTCCTGGGCTGTCTCAGAGCTGCCAAGAAGATGCACTCCATGTCTGTCCATGACACACTTTTTCACAGGTGCCTGTGTCCTGTCCAACAGCCCCCCTTCAGTCTCAATTTTGAGCCATTCAGTCTTGAAGACTCATCAATATCCCTGAGAACAGAGTGACTCCCACCCAGGCTGAGGCCCTGCAGGAGGCCAGGGACAGGCTCAGGCTCAGGCAGGGAGCCAGGGCCATGGGTGGCAGATCTGAAGAGTTGCCATCACAGTTCTTCCCAAAAGAAAGGCCAGGAAGGCTGTTTGTGTAGACTCTGGCTATAGCCAACTCCACCTGGCTGCCCTCCAGATCCAAGGATGATCAAGGCTGCTGTTGGGTGTCTGAGGTTAGGAGCCCTTGGGGCTGGTCAGTCTTCCCACTTTCATCTCATACCTGAAGGCCCATGGCCTCCCACCAGCCTGGCCTGACCTCTGTGGAGAAGTCAGTGCAGCACAGCTTCAGAAGAAAGGAGGACACCTGGTCTGCATGCACATGGGTTCTGACTCAACCCTAGTGAGTGGAAGTGGTGTTTTCTGTCACATGTGCTCCCCTGCTGTCTCTGGGTTTAGGGTCATCTTTGTTAATGGCACAAACAATACAAGTGTGGGACAGTGATTTATGAGATAATGGTTTGTGTTTTGTCTCATTTCTCTTCTCTCTCTTGTTTTCCTAATTAATTAATTAGTTAAGGTTTTTGCCATAGAGTGCATGTGCTAACTGGAGACAGACAAAGATCATGAGAAAGAAAGTGAGAAGTCACTCCCAGGGGCATGGCCACACTGCAATCCCTTCTCCATTCTCCTCTAGGATTTTGGACATGCATGAACATGTGCCCAGTGTGATTTTCTTTATTAATATTTTTTTGAGGGATTTTTGCTATAGGGCATGTGCGTTCACTGGAGAAACAGAGAAACGGAAAGCAAGAAGTCACCCCCTGGGAGGATGGCCATGCTGCAGTTTTTTGTGTACGTACATAGACACATGCCCAGCATGAGTTTCAAGCATCCAGGTCTGGGACTCAACCCATTGTCGGCCATGTGGGAATCCAGCAATGTAACCATTTTGCCATCTGCTGGTCCCCTAAGTGTCATTTTCAAGCTGCCAGGTCCAGGACTTGAACTGTAGTCAGCCATGTGGAAGGCTAACAACTTAACCATTACACTACCTGCTGGCCTCATCTCCTCTCTCTTTTCTAGAAAATAGCCGGGTTATCCCATGCTCTGCCTCATGGGTGCCTTTGAGGAATGAGAAGGAGAGGGCACAGAGCCTGGAGTCAACCAGGGGTAGAATGGCCACCTTACTACCTGTTTCCAGGGACAGTGGTGAAGTAGGCAGTGTCTGAAAAACCTACCAGAGAACCTAGTGCATCTGGGAAAGAGAGACCTACTATGCAAACTGCCAGTTCCCTGGAATATCCTATGCCAGGCAGTAGATGAAGAAGCCAGGGAACATTCTGGATCCTTCAAGCCTTTCCACTGCCTCTATGTCCAGCCCTTGGTTGGCTAAGGGCTACTGTGGCCTCATATGCTCAGTGGGCTGTCCATATGAAGTGGAAGCAAGCACAGGGTTGGAATGGAGCTGGCGCTCAGACCTGTGTCTGCTTCCTGGGCCTCACCGAGTTCAACACAGGCACCCTTGCCATCTTTGGAGGGTCCCTTTTCAGTCAGGAGCCAAGGAGGACAGGCGTTCTGGTAAACAGAGAGTCACCTATAAGTAGAAGCTGAAGAGAAGTCGCACAAGTCACCTGTGAAAACTACACAGGCATACAATAGACACACAGATCTGAGGAACAAAATCTAGCCAGGCCGACTCCATGTCCTTGTGGTTAAGGTGGCTGGATCCCACAAGACTGACCTTGTAGTTCAAGTCCTGGATCTGGTGGCTTGAAAAACACATCAGATGTGTGCACATGTGTACCCAAAATCCCAAAAGGAGAGAGAGATGGAGGAGAAGGGATTGTGGTGTGACCATGCCTCATAGGAGAGTTCTTTCCTCTCTGGTGAGTGCATGTACCCTCTAGCAAAAAGAATTTTTAAAAAAGCTTCTGACCGCAGTGACATTTCCAGTTCAAAACAGCAGGCCATTCAATAAATGGTAGAAGAGGGACCAACAGTTAACTTAATGGCTATGTCACTGAACTCCCATGTAGCCGACCGTGGTTTGAGTCCTAGACTCAGTGGCTTAAACTCACGCCGGGTGTGTGTGCATGCGTGCCCAAGATCCCGAGAGGAGAATGGAGGAGAAGGGACTGCAGTATGGCCATCCCTCCTGGGGGGTGATTTCTCGCTTTCTGTCTCTCTGTCTCTCTCTGTCTTTCTGGAGAGCGCACATGCCCTATAGCAAAAAAAAAAAAAACCTCTCCGAAAAAAGAAAAAAAAGTACATGTATATAAATTATATATACATATGCACACAATATCATGAGCATATATGACTACATCTGTTTCACTATATCATACGTATACTGTACATATGATATATAGTGTGTATATATGTATATGTGAATACAGTGTGTATGTGTGTATACACATAGATATGTGTACAGTGTATATGTGATATATATGAGTATGCCTGAGATTTACTTAGATAAATTTTACATAGTCATACCTACATACACACATATTAGATGAATACAAATTTAAAATTGTAATATTGTTATATCTTCTTGGTAATTTGAAACTTTTATAGTTATATGATGTTTATAAAACCCAGGAGGGATGCTTTCTCTCTCTCTCTGTCTCTCTGGTGAGTGCACATGCTCTCTAGCAAGTAAAAAATACAAATTTCCCTTTTCATCTCTAGCATTTGTTCACCTCTACAAGGTAGTATAATTACATGCACACACGTGATATCACTACCATATAGCATTGAAAAAAATCTCATACTTAATTGTGAAATATTGAAACCTTGTTCCCTAGAATTGGAAATGAGACAAGGATATCACTTTTACTGAATATAGTATTAGAGGTCTTAGCCATTATAATAAGGCAAGAAAAACATTAATGTTATAAGGACTGAAAATAAATAAAGCTCCCTGTTCACAGATTACATGATTATATAAAAAGAATATCCAGGGGCCAGCAGGTGGAGTAGTGGTTAAGGCACTGGACTCCCACATAGCCGACTGTGGTTTGAGTACTGAACCCAGTGACTTGAAACATGTTAGCTATGTGTGTGTATGCCCAAAATCATGAAAGGAGAATGGAGGAGAAGGGATTACAGCATGGCCATCCTCCTGAAGGGTTATTTCTCATTTTCCCTCTCTCTGTCTTTCTCTGGCAAGTGCACATGCTCTATGGCAAAAACCTAGGGAAAAAAAGCCTTAGGGCCAGCAGACAGCATAATGGTTATGTTGCTGGACTCCCACATAGTTGACTATGATTTGAGTCTCAGACCCGGTAGCTTAAAACTCATGCCAGGTGCATGTGCGTGCATATCCAACATCCTGAGAGGAAAACAAAGGAGAAAGGATTGCAACATGGTTATCTCCCATGGGGGGTGATTTTTCACTTTCTGTCCCTGTCTCTCTGGCAAGCACACGTGCCCTATAACAAAAATCTCAAAAACAAAACAAAACAAAACCCTTAACACTCATGCCAGGTGCATGTGTGTGCGTGTCCAAAGTCCTGAGAGGAAAACGGAGGAGAAAAGATTGCAGTGTGGCTAGTCCCCATGGGGGTTGATTTTTCACTTTCTGTCTCTCTGGCACCCTATAGCAAAAATCTCTAAAACAAACAAGAAAACTTAAATTATTTTTATTTATTTATTTATTCTTATATATAGTCAGAGAGAGTGTGCACTCACAAGGGAGACAGATAGATAGATAGAGAGACAGAAGGAGAAAGCACCCCTCAATGGAGTGTGATCACATCACAATCCCTCTCCATTTGGGACAAGCAAACACATGTGCCTTGCATGTTTTTTAAGCTACTGAGGCAAGGATTTGAACCATGGTTGTCTATGTGAGATCCAGTTCCCTTAACCATTAGGCTATGGGACTGTCCTCCCAAAAGTCTTAATTAAAAAGAAGAAGATTAATAAATGGGACTGCACTAAAGTTAAAAACATCTGTTCATCAAAGACATCCTTCAGAGAGTTAATAATCAAGCCATAAAGCAGGAGAAGATATTTGTATGTATCTAAGGAAGGGCTTGTATTCGGACTGTATTAAAAAAAACAACTTGGGACCAGCAGGTGGTGTGGTGGTTAAGAGCGCTGGATTCCCACATGGCCCCCTGCGGTTTAAGTCTTGGACCTGGCGGCTTGCTTTCTCACCTTCTCTCTCTTTCTCTTGCTCTGTCCCTCTCTGGTCAAATTAAGAAAACATATAAATAAATAAAGTTAAATAAAATAATTATTAAAAAAATTTAAAAATAGGGACCAGCAGTTAGCATAATGGCTATGTCGCTGGACTTGTAGTCGACCGCGGTTCACGTCCCAGACCCAGTGGCTTAAAACTCATGCCAGGCGCGTGTGCGTGCGTGCCCAAGATACCAAGAGGAGAAGGGATTGCAGCGTGACCATCCCCTCTGGGGGGTGATTTCTTGCTTTCTGTCTCTCTGTCTCTCTCTGTCTGTCTGACGAGTGCACACGCCCTATAGTGAAAAACCTCTCAAAAAAACATTAAAAAATAAACTCTTATAACTCAATAAGGAGAAGACAGCCCAAAAGAAAGTGGGGCAAAAGATTTGATCAAGCAATGTGCTCAGTTGACCAGAGGAATGCTGAAAGTTCTTCCCTTCTTACACATCCTTTCCTACATGATGTCATCCATGAGTCCTGGGGTGCAGCTAGCCGAGGTAAGCATGTATGGGGCATTAGGACCTGGGTGGGATGAGGAGAGTATCCTGCTGGGTCTAAAGGCATAAGGCATAAGTGAGTAGATGAGGGCAACCCACATAAAATGGGATGAGAAAGGCCCTTCAATGGAGACCAGCAGGTGGTGTTGTGGTCAAGGGGTTGAACACTCCCACATGACCAACCATGGTTTGAGTCCTGGACCTGATGGCTTGCTTTCTCCAGTTCTCTTTCTCTCTCTGGTCAAATTTAAATAAATGAATAAATAAATAAAATAAAATAAAAAAATTCTTAACAAAACAAAGCAAAACAAAAAAAACGAACTCCCTGTGTTCTGTCTCCATGAATGGTTGGAGAAACCGTACACAGCAATTTGTAAGTGACAATTCAGAAGGAACAGGAGGGGGCCAGATAACTTCATTCCTGCCAGTGAGACCAAGTTT